ATTTGTATACGGGGTAAAAGGGGGAGTTCATAATCCACTTGAATCAAACCGTGTAATATGATGTATTAAGAACTATGTAATGTTATGAACGACCAATAAAAAAAAAAAAAAAAAAACTCTGCTTCATTGAGGTTTATATGTGGAATAAGGGGGAAACTATGAAGATAATCTATTAGGGATAAATTTCCTGCTATTTGTCTGAAAACTAAAATGAGCATTTTGTAGTTCTCTTGAAATTATTTGGCTCTTAATTATTTCAGAGAATACATATACTTTTTCCTTATAACTTCCTTAAGCAAAGAAGAAAAGTTGCAGGTTGAAGGTTACCTTGTAACCTTCTCAAGTGGTCAGTAATCAGTTTTCTAAAAACTGGTGTCATTTTTAGAGTGGGAAGGAGACAGGGTAACACCAGTGAAAGTCAGATTGTGTTGGCTCTTTGAAGAAATATAGACTTCATATTTTATTTCATAATTCTAAGTATGAAGCTTCATCATTGGAGTTTGATTCACCCCAGCTGAACTCCAAGTTAATAAGTCTATGGATTATAAAACTCTTTGGTATCAACAGGTGTATATTAATCCAGTCTTTTATTGGAAGATATACAATATTATGTGCAATTTTTCATAGATAGGAACTATTTGTCATACAGGGTCTATACAATAGACCTAATAGTCAAACCAGCTTCAGGAAAAAGACTCCTTCAACCAAAACAAAAAACAAAACTGAGGATCCCTGGTGGTAGTTTCAAAGCTGTAAAAATATTATCTTGCATCATTTTTACCTGTGAGAGGAGCCACAGTAGACCTTCTTGATTTGCAGTAGCAGTTAGAGATAAAGCCAATATCATGATTATTTGCATTTGTTTTATTTAGTTCAATTTTCCATTTGTTGAGACTTATACTGTTGGAGAAGTAAAAGTTCATCCAAGGAACACCACTAGTGGCTACAGCCCAGAGCAGGATAGACTGCATGAAGCTACTTTAGAAAACAGTTTTCCTTGGAATGTAGATGGGGACTTAATGGAAGTTGCATCTGAGGTCCATGTCAGGTAAGCCTAACTATTTCACTGTTTTGTATGTCACCAGTAGACCCAACATTAGTACTGCAGGTAAGCATTATTTCAAAAAGTCAAGCAAGGAAGGAAAAAATGACACATACACAACTTTCAATAGAAAAGTATAACTTCATATTTATTCAGCAACTCTTACATAGTGCAATGGCAATTTTTTAGTTGGGGTTCTATGTTGGCATTCCAAATTATTCTGCATAAACTCCACAGTTAATGTGTCTATAACTTTTATAGATTTTTAAAAAATGGTTCAAGATCCCAAGGCTTTGTGAAGTCATCTGAATGGTGTATAGTCTTCAGTTTCAGTCATTTTTAATACCATTGCACCTTGTTCAGGAGATTGCTTTTATCAAGTCTTTACAAAATATTCAACATATTTTACAGAACACTTTTACATATTGGTACATGAGGAGGGTAAATGACACAAACAGATTTAGAAATATACAAGCTAATTCTTGGTTAAGTGTTATGTTTTAATGGGCAGAAGTGTATAGGAGCACCTACTAGATGTATTGTTACTAGAAGGACAACAGACTGCTCCACAGAGACAATATGGAGCACATTAGTCTAGGTGGCTTTGGAATAGTTACCAGTGTTTTTTGAGGCACTCTAAGTTTGCATCTCTGCCATTAGAAATTTGTAGGTGGTATTACTATGTACCATACTCATTATGTATGTGTTTGAAATCAAAGGTTGATGAAATAATAAGTTATGTATATTCTTTACAGATTACATCCAAGACTTATCAGTCTTTATGGAGGAAGCCTGGAAGAAGTGAATGATTTCCAAGTAACATGTAATTGTTTATAAAAGAAATGTGCAAACTAGAATTTTAATATGAAGGAATTTGCTCATTCTTTAAACAGATATCTTAAGAAAATGTTTTAAAAGTAAAATTGCTATTTTTGATATTAAAAAGCTTCTAGGTTTTTGAAAATCAAGATGAAAATATGAAATATCAAAAACAATTTTAATTCTGGTTTGTATAGGTGTTTATTGGAACTGAAACATTTCATACGTTTCACCTTTATGATATCAATATTTAATCAAGATAATTCATTTGGACTCTTTTATTTTACAAGATTTGAATCCATCATGTACTTCCCTGATTTTATGAATGAGGCAACAAATTTAGAGAAGTTAAATTCCAAAATGACACATTTAGTTGTGTAACCAGAAACAGAACCACGTTTTTTGAAAATCTTTCCAATACTTAGCCTGTCTGCCAAAAAAGAATAATCCCATCTTTGAGAAAATGTTGTTAAGTGGTGGGATTTATAAATTCATCATATAGGTAAACTCAAAGTTGATAACATTTTATTTAGAATTATGCAAAAGCCTAATTGGTAGCTGTGTTACTCTTGTACCTGAGATGCATGGGTCCAGAAATCATAGTTCTTGATTTCCAATGTAGTTTCTTTAGAGACCATTCTTGAGAAGACAGTTCTAAATTAGTGCTTCACTTTTTTCATGAGGGAGTGATCCTAGACATATTTCTAAAAGAGTTATTTGGCTTTTTTAAAATTAGTTTAATTATACGTGATAGCAGAATGCATTTCAATTCATTGTACACAAATGGAGCACAACTTTTCATTTCTCTGGTTGTACATGATGTAAAATTGCACCATATGTGCAGTCATACATGTGCCTAGGGTAATGTTCATCTCATTCCACCATCATTCCTGCCCCCATGCCTCCTGCCCTCCCTCCCCTTTGCCCAAAGTTCCTCCATTCTTCCACACCCCTCCTGCCCATTAAGAATCAGCATCCACTTATCAGAAAGAACATTTGGCCTTTGGTGTTTTGGGATTGGTTTACTTCACTGAGCTTGGTATTCTCCAACTCCAACCATTTACCTTCAAATGCCATGATTTTATTCTCTTTTAATGCTGAGTAATATTCCATTATATATATGTACCACAGTTTCTTTATCCATTCGTCTGTTGAAGGACATCTAGGTTGGTTCATAGTTGAGCTGCTACAAACATTGATGTGGCTGTGTCACTATGGTATGCTAATTTTAAATCCTTTGGGTATAGACTGAGGAGTGGGATAGCTGGGTAGAATATTACTTGGCTTTTTATAATGATGATAAAAGCATAAAAATGTCTTTTTGACAAAAAGCGCTCTTAAAATATATACATTTTAGTTTTGCTTGTACACAGTTAAGGAGGCTTTGTGTTCAACTTTGCTCAAATAAATGCCTTGGCAAATCACAGTACATTTCTCATTCTCCAGCCACCAGTTTCAGGCTTGTGAATAAGTAACTTCCATGAATCAGAAAATCTGAGGAATGGGACAGCTGGCAGCAGAGCCCTTATGCAAAGCAGTATTTCCCACAGTAAAGACTGTTTTCTTATTTATCTACTTGATTGCTTCCTAGAACAGATGTTCAAAAGTTGGCCACAGGTTTCTTATACACATAAAGAGATCCAGATGAAATTATATTCCAAAGTCACCAGCATCTAGATCACAGGCATGAAAATAAATATTTAAAATTCAGAAAGCTATTTCATTTAAAAATAGATCTTAATATCAACAAACTTTAAACATTATTAATGTTCACTGTATGGAAATGTTCAGTGAACTATGAATTTTGTTTCTCCATTTCCCTGGAGAAGTGAATGCTGTTATAGACCTCATAAGAACATATTCAAAAAGAGTAATGAAATATTACAACCAGGCAAATGTTTGCTTAATTTGGGACAGTGACTATTTAATACAGTACCCAACAGATGAAATGTTAGCCTCCTAATCATTCCTGGAACAGCTTTTATAAATCACTATGGAGGCACAGTTTTCATATTTCTTATATCAGTGTATAGCAGCTAAAGTGCAACATTTACAATCTGTTTCAGAATATAAATTAGAATACTTGAATAGTTTTATAAACAAAAAAGTTTGAAGATTTAAAAAAATTTACTCCTGGGTACTCTTGACAAGTGTATTATAGGAGGCTAGTGGATTTATACCTATAGCAAAGTTTATATTCTTTAAAAAATGTATATATACAGGGGGGAAAATCTGTAGCTGTAAAATTCTCCACAAGTCAGTCCATTAAGCTGAAACCAGTGTATCATTTCGGAGTAAAACAGTTGCCATACAAAATGTGTTACAAATGCAGATCTTTAAAAATAAAACATGCTTTGAAGTAATGGTCTTCCTCTTTCATTCATTAAAAGATTCAGGGACACTGCTTTAAAATTCTAAATTATTTTTAAAAATATGCTTCATATACGTCTCAAAGATGTATTTGAAATGAACCAATGCCCATTCAGTGGATTTTCTTGGCCAAAGTGAGCACATACGAAGTTCAAGATGATTCAATTCAGATGTACTTAATATATCTGCAAGGGTTTAGTTTTTTTTTTTTTTGAATAATTCAAAGGCTGTAGTGTTTTTCTACTCATTATATCTAAAGTTGACCTTTTAGCTATTAAGTATTGCCTTTGCAGTTATTCTCTTTCAGTGATCACTGCTTGAATTATTCCCTCCAATTAAGACAGAATTCAGGTCCAAAGCAAAGGAGTATATGGAAGAATCTGAGAAAAATTCATGTCTTCTTGTAATCTGTTTTTAATCACCATCATTGCTTTTACTGTTGACATAACTCCAACTATCTCTTCTGTTTTCTTCTTGTAGGATAGATTTGTATTGTCTTTTAAAGAAGCCAGCCTGAAAAAATTAAATAATTGTGAATAGTTATGAACATGCTATACTCAGTCAACACCAGTACTCTTAAACTGTGTCCCAGGTCACTCTACATGAGGGCTTTTACCAGATAAAAATCAGTAAAAATTCGTTAAAAATATTGGTTTACGGAAGCATTTTTGCTGTTAGTACAGGACTCCTCAGACCCTCCCCCCAGTTGATATTCAACATAATATACAACGTTTTACAAGTCTTTATTTTAAAAAATGTTCAGAACTAGTGTACTAGTTCTGTATCCAAACTATAATATTAGTTCTGAACATTTTTTTAAATAAAGAATATATACATTGTATAGTAAAAAAAAAAAAAAACACTTGGGAGATACTGGCTTTGAAAAAATAGCATTTTTAAAGACCTACCTTCCACATAACATATGAAATCAATAAAAGTACAATAAGTCCAAGTAGCAAACTAGTTGAAATAATCACTATTGTGAAATGACGTTTGGGTATTTGATGATGTACTCCTTCTAGTAGAACCTATGTGAATTAAGCAAAATAAAGAAACACCAGTTAGGAACTTTGAAACTCCTTCCAACCACCTACAATAATTAAAACTAGCCACCCCATTCTCTTGCGGGTTCCACACAACCCTAGATACACTAGCGGGAACAGTGAATGAAATGGGCTTTGTGACTCTTCCTCCAGTTCATCCTGTTCTAACTGCTACCTGATTCATTCCCTAAAGAGCTCTCAGTCATTTCCTCCTGACAGCAGTGTAAAATGCCACCTCTCAATGAAATGTTCCAGGTCCTCTATGACACATTGATTTCCTGACTCAGCTATGCAAAAGGGATTATGAACACCCTAACTGCAGTGGACCAATTAAAAGAGTAACTTACATGTGCAACATTCTCATCCTTGTTTAGCTCAATAACTCTTGGATGTGGTTCTGTAAAGGCTGTTGCTCTTATTTCAAATTTGAGGGCTGACGTTGCATCCTGTTTTTAAAAAAGTAGTCATCATCACCTGTTTTATTTCAAGACATTAATTTCTCATGGTCTTTACTATCTAGATATTTCCACAGTTTGTCTTCCCGAATTTAATTGTAATTAATTGCAGTGCTTCCCTTTAATTCTAAAGTTGTAATCATATGGCATCATTTCATTGAAATACTTTTGGTAAGTATGGCTGTGCTACAGATAACTTGACTGAGATAGTATTTGTTAGACTGTCAGCAGTTCATTATTGATGTAATTTTTCAGAGATTAAATTTTTAGCCACAAACAAGACTTTTTTCACCTGATAAATATTTCCTCAAACTAACATTTTTTTGGAAATTTTTTTTCTGAATGAAATATATTTGGACTACTGCTATAAAATTATATTAATCTTAATTTATATTAATTTCATTATAATTTTAATCTGTGGAGGAACTTTAGTATCTAAAGCAGGTACTATATAACCCAGATTTCATAGATTGGGGATCTCTGGATGAACCTTCTAGATTCAGAGGTATTTTCATGTGTGCTGAGAATATTAAAGAGGTCTATGACCCTCAAAAGCTACAAACTGCTGTGTAAAGGTTACTTTACACTTTCAAACTGGAAATAAAATCATCTAGAACGAGTGATTTTTAATAAGGGAGGATTTTGTCCCTTAGGGAATAGTCAGCAATGTCTGGAGACATCTTTGACCATCAGAACATGGGTAGTGGTACTATGGGCATCTGTTACTGTATTGCAGCTGAGGATGCTATTAAATACCCTACAATGCACAGGATAACCCCCCTATGGTTCAAAATGTCAATAGTGCCTACTATTGAGAAACCTAGACATGGTTAAAAGACTTGCTGATGGTCCTATGACTTTTTAGCAAAATTGAAACTAAAATGGACATTTTTTTGATGTGTCTTCTTCTTGACCACTAGGTGGTAATTTCAGAAATTCCAGTTAACACATAAGAGCTGTTATTACCTTTGGCTTACTATGTGCAATACTGTAAGTATGAACAAAAATCATCTCATTTGGCCTGGGGATGTAGCTCAATAATAAAGCAACCCAGGGTTCAATCCCAAGTATCATTTTTTTTTTAAAAAAAATCTTTAAATGAAGATTTTAAAAAATTAAAAAAATATATTTAAAAAAATCTCTAATCTGAGATTAGAGATGTTGAAAAGATGAGGAAACTGAAAAAAACTAGTTTTACCTCTAAGTATTCTTCATGAAAATACACACTTCAACAGGAAGTAGTCCAAGATGTAGGTAATTCAACTTTTCAAAATTCATTGTTTTTGTTGTGGAAATTTTGATGTTTGATTCTATGAAAATCTTAATTCTATGAGATTTTTAAGCATAATTTAAGGTTATATGAAATATTAAGATAGTCAATAAAGGTTCATAGACAGGTCTATACATTTTCTAAACTAAACCTTCTAGTCATTCCATGGTTTTAGACAGCTTGAATGGTAAATAAAAATTGAGATATTCCAAAATATTTATGCCTTAATTCGTTGACAGCCTTCATATGATCCTGCTTCTATAAGATGATTGGATTTGTAAATTCAACATGGAACTTACCATTTCCAAAATGGATGGCCGGCCTTCCAACTGGATGTGAACACTGGCTTCTTTTCCACTTTCCATTTTTCCAAAATGGCATAAGAAATTTAAACAGTGTGGATCAGCTTTCATGCAGTACTTGAAAAGAATAAAATTTTCAACATTTAAAAGACTGTGTAAATATTTTATATAAAATTAAATATCCCTTTAGTGGCATTTAGAAAACTATCTTTCTGTAAACACGGAATTAAACATCTGCTTTCTCTGGGGCACTAAGAAACTTACTTTGCTTTAAATAAAATAAAAATGTTTGTTTTGTAAATTACAACAGAAATACAGTGTTAACGTCGGTGCATGTGTTCTCATCTTTGTTAGTAACATTCTTCTGAAAAAGAATGGAAAAAATGATGCCTAACCAGAGTCTTGCTAAGTTACATGTTCTACGTTTGTTGTAAAACCTAGATCATTTGAAGGTGATGGTTTCTTCCCAGTTTCTTTTTATTAACTAAGATGAAAAGCATGAAAATCTTGTGCCACAAGACTTCTGGGTGATTTGGCGTCCTGAGTAGATTAGAATAATATCTGCCTGGCAGATAATGAGACTGTATGGTTTCTATTTATCAATGAATCTGCCTCCTCACCCCTCCAAATCATGCCTGTACCTTATGTGCAAGATTATTACTTAAAGTTGGACCCTCTCCTCCCACTCCAATGACAGCTCACAGCCATTGACTGGTTTTAAGTGTTTCACTTCTGTTGGGGAGCAAAATCTACACCCTGAAGAACAAACTTACCAACAGCCTCTTTTCAGTCTTCGACAAGAATTTGAATATGCCCCTCAAGGTCTCCAGTGTACCCTTTTGCAGCTCTGATACACACTGTCTTTCATAATTTTTAAAATGGCATTGTCCGATAGTTGTCTACAAACATAGAAAGCAAGGAAATTATCTTTCACTTTGGAAGGAATAAAATGTGGTTATAATAGTTCAAATTGCTTTTCTTTCTAAAATATATTAAGTACATCTGAAATTGTAAAACTGGTTTTGATAGAATTATTTGGGAGAGAGGATCTGTGGCAAAAGCACATACAAAAACTCAGAAAACTTATGGAAAGTTGGATAGGTCCTAAGTTGATCAAAATGGCCTTAACCTATAGAAATGTGAGAAGTGAAAAAAAAAAAAAGACCTTTAAAAATTATACATGAAACAATAGCATGAACTATCTAAATCTGTATTTTTTTTTGGGGGGTGGGGGGGTTACTGGGTATTTAACCCAATGGTGTTTAAACACTGAGTCACATCCCCAGCCCTTTTTATTTTTTTTAATACAGGGTATCACTAAATTGCTTACGGCTTCACTAGGTTGCTAAGGCTGGCCTTGAACTTGTGATCCTCCTTCCTGTCTTCCAAGTTGCTGGGATTACAGGTGTGTGCTTCAAAATAGTGATGTAAATATTGCTTCCTATAGAAGGCTCTGTTTCTGATTTTCCAACAGTTGGCTTCAAGCTTTATAGAAAATTCTACTAACTAAATTTCTTCCACAGGTCCACATCACAAAGAATGCATCCTCAAATAGTTACTCAATAAAGATGGGGGAAAGGTTATATTAATTTGTAGGTCAAACCCAAAGATTTTGCTGCTATTCTATAGTTCTAATGCAGTGTATAATGTTCAAAGTATACTCAATGCATGGTGTATGTATAGTTGTGCCTATAAGAGAACAGAAATCTTCATCTTAGCAAAATGACTTAGAAAAAAGGTGTGGTTTGCGTTTTTTAAATATTTAAGACACCTCAAAAAGGTCAGATGGAATACATTTTTACCTGGACATCCAAAATGTTGAACAGTTTATCAGTTTGAGGAGTAAAAGAATTTGGTACCATTATTTCCACACTCGCATTTGGAGCCATGCTAATGCCAGTGTTGATAACCTGGTAAGGAAAAAAATTTCAAGCAATTTAAAAATATTTTTCATGAATGAAGAACAGAAATCAATGAGCTTTGAGGTGACCATGCAAGATTTACAGTTGTGGAGGTTTGTAGTTGGTAGCCACATAGCAAAGAGACAGAATATTCATATTGAGAATTTTAAAAGTTTTTAGTGATTTCAAACTCTCTTCACTATTCCTAGCCTCCTCCCCTCCCCAAAAAGTCCAGGCTGATGGTTTATTGTAGAAAGTCTTAAGAGATATTCTTATCAATATATTTCCATTCCACATTATATATTTTAAAAACATGACCACTTGGTTCTCATGAGTATCCTGTGAAGTGGGCCAACATTCTACTATTCGCCAGCTAAGGAAAAAGCTAAGGGGTATATATGATGTTCCCAAGATGAAAGCTAAAGAGTGGCAAGTGTTGAGATCTCAGTATTCTATCTCTAAATCCTATAATGTTTTCCAAAATAACTATCATAAGAGGATGATATCGGCAGTAAGGAATAAAACGTACTTTTATTCAGGATAATTATAATGTTAATGCATTCAGAAAATTGGAAATGGGTATACTGCTGAATTTTCAAGAAAATACAATATTCTGAATACTTCTCAAAAAAATAAAAAGGGGACAATGTATCATTATTGATAAATTTGGGGATTACAGATCCCTGAAGAAAGACATTGGGCCAAAATATTGCCTAGTGAGAGCTTAATTATAAAACCTGTAAGTCAGAAACAAGATTTGCAGCAATACCTGCATGAGAAAGGATGAGTCACAGACCTAAATGCATATGACAAAATGAAGAGACTGTCCCTAGATTTGGGACAGGTGGTAACTGCTAAGCCACAGAGCTGCTGCAAGAAGAAACATCAGGAATGGGTACCAAGCAGCACCCAGGACTATAGACCAGGTCTTCCTGATGCCAGTAAATAACAAAAGCAAATTGTAATTAGGCTACTAACCTTCAGACCTCTAAGAACATCTACATACTTGAACAGACTCACGACAACTTCAAACTGCATTTCTCCAGTCTGATTTACTCCATTGTAAATTAGAAAATCTTTATTAAACGTCAAAATTGTCATTCTAGAATCCAGCTTGGTTCCTGTTTTATGAAACTGCAAGCCCCCCCTGACTTCTGACAAGCATTTCTTAGGACTTTGAAGAACAGTTCTGACATTATTACATATCAGTGTAACGAAAACTTGAATAGACACAGAATTGATAGGATTTCATTCTTTCTACAGATCTGCACTGTAATCTGCATTTTGGTTAAGAATCACAAGTGATTCTCAAACATTCTGAAAAATATTTTATAAAATATACCTAATACAAAACTCACATCCTTAGGTTGTTATATAACTACGAATGTCTGGATAGCGCTTTTGATTCAAAAAATATTTTTGTAGACATATTTTCTCATCAACATCTGTGATGCAACCAAAACTTGTTTGACAGTAGAAATTTTATTTTAAAAGATTTATATTAGTATATTAATACTTATAGTATTATACTTATAATATACTTATATATAGTAATACTTATAGATCATGATAATATTTACTTTTAAAAAATATTATTCAATAATTAATAAAGTGCTTATCACAGGTCATAAACCTGCGGCCCAAAAGGCTGACCAAGTTGATCCTAAATGGAAAGGGGCGGCATTATATGGCTTTAACTGGTAATGTCAGGGCTATTATAAAGCTTGAATCAAGAAGAGATTTCACTGATTTCCTCCTAAAGATGTCTTCCCCCAGCCTAACTCCCTTGTATGCATCTCCAATGGATTTGGCTCACCCCCTAACTTTGCCTGTTCCATGTGTTACTTCTTTTCCTGCATGCCCTCCCACGTGTCCTGGAAGGAGATGAGGACTTGAGTACCAGGGATAAGAGAAAAGGGAGAAGAGCATCAGTAGCCTAGAAGTAGCCCTGTAGTGAGCTACGGTGGAGGCTATGGTGGGGATGGGATGTTCCGTTCCCTGGAGCAACTCATCAGTAACATCCTTCACAGTTGCTACAAATATCCACACAATTAACTTTGCTTACGTGGAAAGTGAAGTTCATTTTCTCTGTCATACATGCTTCAGGCTCATTTTCCTCACTTGATCCATACACAAATGAAGTTGGGTTCACAAACCTGATAGAAATAAAATCAAAGTTAATTAACTGTCTTCTTTGAAGAGCCATTGTAAATAATCTTTATAGGTGTGTTATAGCACAATTAACATGCTGTAAAAGTATACTATGGAATAATTCTGGTTTCTAGGCGATAATTTTATTTAAAAATTAATGGAATTGGAAGGCCATGTGCTCTGACCTGTGTGACAATGTTTGTTCTCACCAATATCCTCCTTTTATCTTCCCCAACCCTGCCTGGTTCATTCTTCTGACTATTCTTTCTCTTCAGCCCTTAATGATTCATGCTATTTTGGTAACTATAGGATAAATCTTTAGCTTTCTGCTGGGGCTCTTAATATATAAGTCTAACCTATTTTTGAGTTTTTTTTTTTTTTTATCCCCCATTCTTGCTGGCTACTTGTAACCCCAAGACTGGGAAACAAGAAAAACACTGGTAGGTTTGGTAAGTTTTTGTTCAGAATACAAGTTGCCCCCTGTCTAAACTTGTGATTAGACATATACATAGTTAGCTAAGGACGTTGACAAAGGCTCTTCCTACTCCATGAGTCTATTTGGCATTGCAAGTTAGATAATACCAAATTAGGGACCCATTAAACAGGAAAGAAATGAGAAATAATCAAATGACATAGTCTTATGAAGTTCAATAGTTGTAGAATATTCCTTGCTCCAAATAATGAGACATAAATAATAGAAAAATAGGAATGTTCTCAATATAAGAAAATTGAAGAGGAGCAAAGAGATAAACATTCAAAACCAGAAGCCATGCAGTCACCTTTCATTAGCTTATCCACTGACTCTCGAGGTTCTGCTCTCCTGTGAATGGCCTTCTTTCTCCTGTTCAGTCTCACAAACTTAGTACTCAATTCCACTGGACACTGTCATGTTATGCTTATTTCAATGGATGTCATCTTTATGGGTGGTTAAAGTGATTGGGAAATTGTTTATATTTAACATAAAAAGTAAAGCTCTGTATTTATTTTGTCCTATATCTCATCTCCGTCCAGTAAAACAATTAGAGAGTGTCTTAATCCCCTGTCTTTCTTTCCACACACCCCTTCCTAAATCAGGGCAGTTACAGCTCAGTAATTAGTAAACTCATGAGGAAGCAATGAATGTTGGCATGAAGGCTGACTGCAGAACTCCAGTCTCACGGGTGTGAAGGGTGGGCTAGCGACACCTGGCAGCTAGCTTTCTCACGTCTCAGTCCATTTGCTACACAGGTAGACATGGTTGTGGACAGTGGTGATTTGGCCAAACTCACACTTCTTTAAACTTCACGCTTGCCATGGCCACTGGGGATGTTTGTGCAAACTGCACACCACGTGTCTCTGGATGTCCCTAGATTGCAAAGCGTACAACTGAAAGGCTGAATGTGCCCTGCTAGAAGCTGATGGGGGCTCTTTCAGTAAGCAATCTCCACCAGCTGAGCTAGGGTTTGATATAGTATCAGTGATGATTATAGATTAAAATAATGAACAGTGAAGCCAGGAACTGCAACACTGAGATAACTGCTGAGGACATAGTATCCTTTTAATTTTCTAAATATGATTCTGTCATCCATGTAAGCAGCAATGGAATTGAAATTCCCTCTAAACTTTCCACGGGCCTCTGTATCGACTTACCCATGAGTAGTTAGCATAACCTCATATCTCAGAGGTATTGCTAAAGTCACTTTGTTATCCTCTAGCCTGTCCACGTCTTCATTTTCACTACAAAAACCAGAAAAACATCTTGTTAAATTCATCAAGCACAAAAATCATCTTCAGAGAGTACTCATTACATATTATATATACCTAATAAACTTAGAGGTTTAACTAGTTTGGGGGATAAAAGAAAATGTGGTAGTAAAAAAAAAAATTAGGATGGAGTTAATAGAACTTTTTCTCATTATTTAAGCTGCTATCATTTGCTTCTAATCCTAGAGGGATTCTTGTTTGCTTTTTAAAAACAAAGCATGTAAGAAAAGTTTGTTCTACAATTAATTGAACACAGATCCATGGTTCTCCTAAAATTTCTCTCAAAATTCAGGGGTTCATCTACTAAATTTTATTTTATTTTTTAATAATCAAATATACCAGGAGGCATGCACTGTGATGCTGAGATCCTCTTCTGCTCTGTTGAGTGAGCTCACATCCAGGAGAAAGCTAATATCTATCTGCAAAACATACACAGAAAAGGGCCATTTTAAAATAATCTAAAATACATCTTTTTGTCATCTGAATTTATTTTTCTTAGTAGTTTATTTTTTATGGAACACAGAATTGAAACTATTCTAGAGGCATAAACTACCCTCACTTGGAAGTAAGATATAGGGAAACTGTTTAATGGCAATTTTCAAGTGCAAGCATTTCCATAAGTGACATTCAGAAACAAAGCCGACTCTGAATGTAAAGACAGGCAGGTCCAGACGGACAAAATTAGAAATGCTTTAACAACTTGAGTGAGGACTCTTGCCAAAAAACACCTTTTCATACAGCAGAGGTAACATGCCTGGCAGACAGGGCCACCTGGGGTGGGTGGGGGGAGTGTTGGGGAAGGGGGAACGGGGGTGGGGAACAGAATTCTGATTGACATATTCACTTGCCCATCTCGACATAAACATGTGCCCCTCCCCTTCCTAAACAGTGCACATTGCCAAGAATATAAACACAAAGCTCAAAGATCTTAGGCCTGGTTGGTTTTGCTTTCTTTGCATCACTTAGCTACCTACCCTACATAAAAAAATAAGAAGAAGAAATAAAAATATATACACACACATATGCAGCATAATAGAAAAATACAAATTTATGTTACTAAACAGAAACCATTAATGCTACATGCTTACCTGTGAGAGATGATCTACATATATGTAACCAACGCTGCAATCAAGTTTCACTATGCCAGAATTATCTGTTACTTCACAGTTTATTTGCTTTTCTTCCTAAAATTAAAAAAAAAATGACTGGTTTGGGTAGGCAGGGAATAAGAAACTTATATGTTTAGGGATGGTTTTTGAAAAGCAAGTCATCCTGGGAGTATTTATTTCCTAGGAAGCAATTATCTGTTTACTTTGAGGATAAATAGAAATACAAATAAATGGTGTTTGTGTGTGTGTGTGTCCTAATATTCATATAAATTATCCATAAAAATCTTCTAGACATGTAGTTTTCATTCACTTTAGTATATTTCCCATTTAATCTGCAGTCTAATTCCTTGAATAATCAGAATGAAAGGGATCCATAAGGTCTGATATGTGAAAATGTAGGAGGTACTTAAGCACAATAACTATAATCACAATTGGTATGTTTTAAAAACATATTCCCTGAATACCTGAAGTTTTTCAACTCTTTCTTTCTAAATAAGTTCCCAATGCTCTAGAGAAAGGGGTTAATAGATATTTGTGAGAGGTCAAAGGCCTGGCTCAAAAGCCCTTGGTGTGAAGAGGTGGTCCCTGGATATGATGTGGGTAAATTTGCTAAAGGTTAGAGAAATTGGGAGAAAGTAATTGAGCCTCTTCTCTGAAACCCAGCCTTATTACTATCTCACTGATGAGTTTAAGTGCCTGTGACTGAGGCACAATGGTAAGGAAAGGTCTCCGACTACTCTAAATTCTTGTGGGAAAAGTAAAACTTGTCTAAAACCTGGCTTGACAGCAGGATTTCAGAATCTGCGGAGGACTGCAGCCTCTGACATATTAAAAGTCCTCTGGGAAGCAGGCAGAGAGCAGGCACTTAAAATGCAGCACAGTAACTCTGGGTGCCTGGCACAGAGGACCAGTATTGCTCATGCAAGGACCCCAGACAAGAACACTGTAACAGCGCCTCACTGGCCTTCTCCCATAGCAGCTGGGAGAGGGAAGCTGATGCCTTTGGACTTAGAGATAATAGAACTTTCCTTTCTGGTCAAGGGCATGGAGGGGGTCTTGATATGATTGAGAGTCTAAGTGATAAGTCTAAATATTAAAAGTTATGGTGTAATATCACTTGTGGTTTTTTAAAATTAAATAAAATACATGTGCATTGTACTCCTGTGATTTTTAGTACTTACCAGTTCTAAAATCTTAATGAAATAAAGACCTGTGGGTAGCTTGACATGCAGAGTGGTCTCAAATGCGTCATCTCCAGCATTAAACAACGACACATTCAACATTAACGTTTTCATGCCCCCCACAGCAAGGTAGGTTTTATTTTCATATGGCCTAAAAATTAAGTAACATTCTTTAGTTCTTATTTATAAAATAAAGATTCTATCTTTATGTCTATAGAATTTATGCTGAACACACAATATTACTTTAGAAATAATACCAACCATGGGAATGAATCCATAAGTAGTTTTAAATCCATATTAAAAGGAATTCAATTCATCAAGTTTCAAAAATATAGTTGGTTATTAATAAAGAAAAGTTTGCTTTTTAATTACAATGGAACAGTGTTTACAGTTTATTTCTCTGCCTAACTTCTCCAATAATTTAAATATATACCTCATTATTTTGTAAAGTTTTCTAAAAGCAACACAACTTTCACTTCTCTGTCGATCTTTGGACAGACATTGAACTAGCTGCTAAACCAAAAGCTTAAGAAAAAGAGAGAACTGGTAGAAAAGGAGAGTGAAAAACAGAGGGCATGTTTGGGTAGAAGTAAAGAAGGCATGGTAAGAAATGCTGTGCCCAGCAAAGGTGTGTCACTAAAATCTATTAGACTAGAATTAATTTCTGAGGTAGGATGGTCGAGCACATCTACAAGAACCAGGCCAAATTAGAAATAAAATCGAAGAAACACTCCACCATCTTGGAATTAAGAAGAGAAGACTGCTTTAAATCCAGACAGGTAAGTTCAAATTCTGGCACTACACCAGTTCTTTAGACTGGGGTGTCCTTCAGCGTTTCTAAGCATTGGCCACTCTGTCAGTAAAATTTACTATTCAGGTCTTGTACCTTCCATGAAATCCTCAGAATGTCTTAAATATGAGGAAATTTAGGCTTACGGAATTTATTCAAAGATCACAGTTCTAAAATCTCAAAGCAAATGCAGGTTTTTACACAGCCCATTTTCTTTTCCAGCAAGACAGAATAGCGTAATGCAAAAGAAAACTTTCAGTTCCAACATGTTATGATTTTATAAGCTTTTCCCAAAGACAGCAAATTCTTAATTATCTAGTAATTTAAAAATTAGAAGAATTAGTTCGAAATAGAGAAGGATCTGACCCAAAGTAAATAATCAGGTGAAGATATTCCTAACAATAAAACAGGTAAATATTCATCTAGCATTTTAGAAATTTGAAGTTTCTTCAATGATGTTAAAATTGTGCTGTTCTAGTCAATGTTTATATAAAAGCTTAGAATTTGAATAAATTACAGAACAGCACTTATTGGTTGTTTTGAGAAATGATTAAAGACAAAGAATACATAAGAATAAGAACTTGTTTCAAAATTTTTGCTTTTATTTATTATTTGAAGATGCATGAATCACTGACTATAATTGAAAGTTCATGTATAATAAATCAGGTGTCATATTTGATGTTATATAAAATAATTAGAGCACATTTCACTCTCTCCTGATCTGATACAGCAAAGGACATATCTGTACATAAGTGTAAATAAATATAAGAGAAAGTTATGAACAAAGGGCTCTGGGAGTCCAGGGAAGGAAACCACTTTTGCCTGGGAGTAGTAAAGCGATATTGTCCTTTGATTTTCTATTAATATGATCATTTAGGTTGGCTATTCCAAAGATCTTTTTAAAACTAAACTCTGAAAAATGTCTTGATTTAACTTGAGTTAATCTGGATTATACCCCTAATAGATCTCTGTTTCAAACTCTTCAATTGTCACACTGTCAGAGGGTTGTTTTCAACAAAGCAAACCAGACAATGTATGTGGAGTAGCCTAAGGGCTTTTGAGATGAATCTTAACTCCTTAGCTTAACATGTGAAGCCTCCAAAAGCTGGCCCTGCCTCACTTTCCACTGCACAATTTATTTTTTTTTACTTTGGTTATATTAACCTACAAACGGGTACAAACCCATTATTCATTCATATTACCCACCCCCCACCACCTTTAACACCTTCTCGGCTTCATGCACCTGGAGAACCTGTACTTGTTATTCAAGATTCAACTTCAATACCAATGACACTAAGAAGTTCCTCCAGCTGCACCCTGTTCTGGATGCAAGATGCAAGGTGCAAGGTGATGGCGCCCTCACCCCTGGACACATACACACCCAGAGGCACCCTAGGTGCCTCTATAACATAGTCACATTTCAATGTCAAGTCTCTGTCTGGTTCCCCTCTCCATGTACTGTTTTCTTGAAGAGAAGTTACCACATCATGATTATCACAATTTTTTTCAGAGCCTAGAAACAGTGTGTAATGTATGTAGGCACAGATGCAAGCATTGGACATACAAATGGGTCGGGCTACACTCAGAGAACATGTATAAAAAAAAAGAAAATTACTAAGTTAATGACTTTTAAGTTTATGAAACAATATAATTTTTGTCAAATTATAGCTGGGTAGCCATGTTTATCTGTTCTGTGAGGTACATAAATTTTAAATGTTTCACCAAGAAAAGAAAGTAAATATCTAGCACCACCACATTCATGTGATCTGTGCCCCACCCCCAAACTTCACATTTTACAACTCCTGATAGACCTACTGAAGGCATCATCATGCGACCCTGGCAAAACCACTACTAGAAATTGTTCATTCAGAATTATTAATTCTCATGAACCTGACAATGTATATACAAAATTATAATTTTGGACATTTTCCCCCACTTCTGTAATTCTAAAAAATATACCTCCAAGAAATGGAACAGTTCACTTAGTACTTGAAAGTTTTTCCCCTCTTATTCTGATCTTCTCCCCCTTGAAACTCAATTTGTTAAAGTATGTGTATGGAGAAAAGCATACAGTCTAAGCTACAGCCCAATTTTTATAAACTTGAATACACACATGAGACTGGCACCCAGATCAAGAAAAATGTATTAGCTGCACAGGAAACAACTGTGTCCCCTTCCTCCTGGCCAGCCACTGAATTCGTTCTTAGTAGTAAAACTGGTGTTGTCCATTTTTTATATTTCATCTAAATGATATTCGAATAATCCTTTATATATCTTTTTTTTGTATGTGTCTTTTTCAACTCCAATTTTTTTAAGATTAACTTACATATCTGGGCATTAACTGGGCATATTTCCTCCTCTCCCTTTCTGTATATCTGTCTATCTTGGAGCATATTTTTTAAAAAGTTTTGTTTTTCTAAACCCAGGATTAATTACTTAAAATACCTGAATCTTGGTTTGATGATCAGCTTTCAAAATAGATTTAAGCAACAAAATATACTAAAATGAACTATTTTAACATAAGAAAATAAAAGATATATAATTATCATAGAAAAATCAAGAATATCATAGAGCTCATGAGTGTCCTGCAAACTGCTGCCTAAAGGTCAAATTCATACCTCTGCCTGATTTTGTAAATAAAATTTTACTCAACGACGCCATGTTCCGCTCTTGCACTTCAATGACAACTGAGTAGTAGAGACTGAGATCTCAGTTCCCCAAAGCCTAAGATATTTACTGTCTCTTCACAGGAAAAATTGGGTCAGCTTCTGCTATAGAGCCATCTAACTGATGAGAACTTAAATACAAACATAATATTATACAATATAATATTTACTCTAAGTAATTAAAAATTACTCTGTATTTTTCTGACAATAGGGGCTTCACAGCTTTGGGTGACATAGAAGGTAGTCATCTGTCCTCGGAAGTCATGCAGTTTTAGAGAAGGGGATGCCTGGTCTTTTTAACTCCACAGCACTCTAAATGTGGAAGAGAAAGGAAAGAAGAGCACTTCCATGGGTACCATCTCTAGCTTCTGGTCCTTGGTTTTGAGAAGCTGACTTCCAGTGAAAAATGTGGAATACCTAATAAAGCAGTAATCCTAAACTTCAGGGAGGAAGCATTGATGGAGCAAGGGTGTGTTCTCGAGGATGTGGGCAATGGCTGGGACTTAGTCATTCCTGTCGCAGCCTTTGGGTTAAGTCCATGCAGGTCTGCTTGATGGTGCATGTTGAACGGGAGGGGGGACGTGTGTGGGAACACAGCCATCCTACATCCCTCTACTGTCCTGTAAACGTGTTATAACTGACGGAACCTGAGAGGTTCCAAAAGTGAACTTCAGCTTGACATTAAAGTCTAATTAAGACTTGTAGAAGAGCTGCCTAGAAATAGACGTTTATAAAATATTCTGGCTTGTAACCAAAGCATTAGTCACTGAACACCTTTGGGAAAGAAGTTGGCACTTCGACAAGCAACATAAGGTGAAAGCACTGCATAAGCAGCCAGGTTCCAAGACAACAGCAGATTAGAGCGAGACACACGTTCACATTTCTGCAGCGAGAAGTGACTTATTTTCCATTTTTAAGCAATTCTGCTAGATTACCATAATTACAATTCTACTTTTTGAAAACGTCCATCTTACTGTATCTTGATTCATTAACAAGATGCCACAGGAAAGATGCCCACCAGCTTTCTCTGTGAGACACAATAAAGGACCAGGTGCACATCTGGAAGTGCGACAAGACTGAACCAGAGCCGTCCCCGGGACTCATAGTTCATTCTTCATTAAAACATGCATAATGCAGACCTGAAATTTACAAAGCAGCCTAGAATCCACATAACTTCCACAAATCAAGGTACTGTGTGCATATGGAATCATAACTTAATAAGTGAAAGAGGAAAAATAGAAAAATGATATACTGCAGCACCTGGCTTTATGTTTCTCCCGAGTGAACGATATACTTTTATTTTGAAGGAAGTGTTTGTGTCATTATAATATACTTTGCCTTGATGAAATGAATTAGGGCTTCATAGATAACTGTTTTTTAATAAAGATGCTAGAATGAAATATAATGTAAACTGATATCACACTCGCTTTGCTTTGTCAAGATATGCGATGCATTCATTTAACCAAGTAGCCTGCTGCCAGGGGCCTTTAGTTCTAAGTGAAATTTTATCCTCTGTTTTGCTTTATTATTAACATAAAGAAAAAAAATACTAAAAAAATTCTTGCCTACTGGAATAGGTCAGTTAATTGTCATTTAAGAAGATTTTAGTGAATAAAAGTTAAAGTCACTGAGGTCCAGGGGAGGATAGCAGAAGAGCTTAGAAGACTGGACTAGCAATGAGCTTATTTTAGTGCCAAAAGCACACGATTACTCCTGCCAAGGCACTGTGATGTGAATGAGGCATGTTTTTATTCGAGTTGCTTTTATAGGTGCTAAGACCATAGTGGCAGGTACTACTCGTTGCTTATTATCTACACAACAGTGATTTCCAGTATTGTAGCCTAATAGACCCTGGGTTATTCAGGTAGTAGGTAGCATTCCCTCGGCAATGCAGAAGACAGCTTGTAGGTCAGCTTTAGAGAATGAATCATGGCTGATCTAATATGACCATGATGACTCCATTTTCCTTCAATCATGATACGTTCTGGAGAAAGCACATGATGAAGGGACTTGGTTATCAGAATACATCTGATAAGATACATCAGATACATCTCAAAAAAAAACCTCAAAAAGAAAAAAACACTTTTGCTTTTGGACCTTTTCTTCTTTCTGGGAACCTTTGTGCTGCTGCAGCCATTTTGTAATCATGAGGGAAAAAAAAAAAATCGAAGCAGGAAAGATAACTGTCAATGTCTAATCTCTGGTAGTACTTGCCAAACCTGCAATAATCTCCTCTCTGCAGATTGTTTATTATATAAAATAAATTTCCTTATTGTTTAAGTCACTATCAGTCAGGGATTCTTTTACTTGCAGTTAAAAGTGTTTTCAATGGATATGAAAGTGATCACTTAGGGAAAACTGGCATCACTTACCCTAGACATGTGACAGAACTACAGAAGAGCAGTATTATCATTTATATCAGCAATCTATATGAAAGATTTGATTTTAAAACTTCCAATATGATGGCTAATATCTGCTGTTATGTTTGTAATCTTCATAAAGTCTTATTTGTTCATCATTATTTTGCAGTGAAAATCCATTTGAATGTGAGTTGTCATCTTGAGAGTTTAGTCACACAGGAGGAAGCCTTCACTTAATGAAAAGATGAGATGTCGTGCATAAGCACCGTTTAGTGTACTGTTGGCAGTTTATTATTATGGGCTTAAGAAACGCATGTTCTTTACCGAGTAAATACATTTACCTAAAACAGCTTTATGGATCTGAAGCATATAAACACCATTAATGCTAGTGAAGTTACAGCCAGGAGATCTGTAAAGCATATGGTCTCAGCTTACTGTTACTGAGAAGGGACAGAGGACACCAAAGTAGGAGAGGTATATTTTTGCCTGATAAAGTATAATTTACTAAAAAAAAAAAAATGCAAAACAGTTTGTCAGAAGCTTTCACTTGAGTCTGAAAACTTAAATTAGAAGAGTTTTCATTTGAAATTTCCTTAAATCCTTTATCGTTTACCAAATAGAAATAGCTTATAACTTTCCTAATTGATGCAGAAAGCCTGATGCCGGCTATTCACACCAGCACCGGCGCCCCTTAAACCCTCCTAAGCCCAAGGACCTCACAGCCAGCAGCATCCTGTGGAGGAGGTCATTTGGGGAGCCAAAAGCCAAAGATCTTCGGGGCGGGGGGAATGGCGGTGGCAGACAGATAGGAGGAGAAGGGGATCAGGATGGCATCTTGGAGACAGAAGGAAAAGGTGTTGAGAAGAGGAAATAAAGAACTGCCAATGCTTCCTGTTTCCAAGGGGACTCAAGCAAAGACCAAAAAGCACCTCCTAGGCTTTAAGTTGAAGGTTCCTCTCCAATGTATTCTTTGACCCTCTCCATGGTTAAGTAAAAAACGTTCACACACAAAAATTCTTCAGTTGAGCCTACTTGTTCCCTTAACCAATAACTCTCATTGGGCTACCTGCTGAATTTATTTTTATCTTAAAATTTTCCAGTGAGTGCCCTTTTATCCCGCCTTTCAGATGCTGACTCCTATGACCCCTCTGAGACCTGCTATTTGATCTCCAACTTGCGCTGCAGCACTAAATCCACCGTTTTACAATCTCCATTGATTATTTGACCACAGACGTGGTTTTCTTCTTAGTTCTCTAAAGATCCCTGTTTGATCTCTGAAAAGGGTTCCTGTGCTTAGTAGGTTCTTTAAATAAAATTGCAGTCCAAGATTTGATCCTTAGTTTGTTCCTCTTTAAAATTCACACTTCCACCTACTGGGCAATCTCACAAGTCACCAATACGTAGAGGAACTTTCAAATACGATCCTGATGTAGATTTTAAGTGGACAGTTGTATACAGAAGTCTCCCCAAATTCAACACGTCTCAAACTGGACTACTTCTTTCATATCCCAACCTCCAAAAAATAGTTTATCATTTTCCTGCTGTATTAACCCTCCATCTCCTTCCCTTTTTTATGTTCCATAAATGTAAAATCAACCCTCAACTTGAAGTATGGATTCTCTCTGGTCTTCATTTTCACATCTTCCCCCTGATGTGCAAAACAACTTGAATACAGGAACTATCGACATGATACAAGACCTCAATGGTTCATCCTTTATCATAAAATAACACCAGCAACCAATATTTATTTACTTATTACATGCTAGATGTGGTTCTCAGCATATTACATGTATTTTCTTTTTACTGGTTCCCCTTCTATGAACTTAGAAGACCAAGTTGGTTATGTCTTTTCAAGTTCATTGCATATGTATCATTTTGTATAAAAGTTTGAATAATAAGATCAGTTTTCCAGGTGATAAAAAAAACTAAGCATTATGTAGTAAATCCCTGTTTTGCACCCAAAACTCTATTAACCAGTACTTATAAATGTTAAAACATACCTACAACCCTGATAATAATATCCTAAGGCACAATTAAATTCTGAAATGCATTCCAAGTTATCAATAAAACATTAAAACATGCTTTGTAAAGCCTCAGTGCTAATATATTCTCATTCTTTGAAAAATGGTAACTCTTGAATGACATGTAGATTATTTTATCTCTCTCAGTAAGACACTGTTCCTTCATAGATATTTAAAGGATGCTAGTTCCCAAGGGTTATCCCTTTCTCTTTAGAACCCATATGCATGTGCCCATTGCACCCTCTTCATGAAAAACAGAGAAAACTTACTTCAAAAATCCAATTTTTTCTAAACTTACTTCAAAAATCCAATTTTTCCCGAAACCCGTAAGTCAGCAGAACAATTTTCATGGGCACAAAACCTTGCAAAGTTTATCTGTAAATAAAATTTGACAACATTCTGAATTTTAGTTCAATCAGTAGATATATTTCTACAAAGTTAAGAACAAGGCATCCATGATACATGAGGAAAACAAATTTAATACATCAATTGGTAACTTCCTCTTTTATCCCTGAGGGTTCAATTTGAGACTCAAGTCGGTAGATTCAAATGACTACTGCAGTGCTAAAGAAACTTAGTGCTTCCAGAGGTAGATTTAAAGCCTAAATTTGTTAACTGAAATAAGGTTTGGGTAAAGTTAAAGACACTATACAGATAACTGAGGAAAATTAGCTTCCAAGATGTTCTTCCTTAGTTTCCTTTCCAGTTTTTGGTGCTCTCGTTTGATCCCACTTATTACACATATGCATGACACTTGTTTATTTTGGCAGATGGCAGGACAGTGATTTTATATTCATTGAAAATAATTTCTAATAAATGTAGAAATTAAGATATTTTACTTTGAGGAAATATTGAAAAAAATTAAACGGTAGTCTGTAGTAAAGGGGCCTGAATTTATTTAATTCTGAACATTTTCATAGGATCCACAAGGTACAAAGGAAGACCTGAAGGATAAGATGGACTAAAGAATAAATTAAGAAATAAACCCAAAGAAAGGAAAATATTAGAAATGGGTGAAAGAAGGAAAGATGCAGAGAATGAGAAATCTAGAAGGTCAGAGAAGGAGCCAGGCAGAGGCAGCAGGAAGTGACTGGGGACTGTCCAATGGCCTGCTAGACCATAACCTGCCTATGTGGGGCTGGTGGTGGGTGGAGGTGGTAGGAGCTGAAGTATAAATCTCCCTCTAAATGGTTAAGTAAATGCAACGTTTTTCTGCCACTCTTATTTGTAAAGCAAGATGTTCTGAGAACCAAAGTATAGATGAATAAAATTTGCTCCTAAATTATTATATTCATTTGATCTAGTATTTTAGACATTGATGATTATAAGCTTGAATATCTAAAATAGTTTAGGACAATGTTCCCTGGACAGCATATGAACTATACTTTTAAACATCCCTGTTGTCTTTTATATTCTGAGTTCTACTGTGTTTCAATGAATGCTATTACCATGCCCAAACTCAATTGACAATATCTTTGTGCTGCTGGACAGTAAATGTCTGAACAGCAGGATTCCTGAGAATAAATGCATCATCAGTGAAACTGAAATATTCTCAGACAACTTTGAAAAAATCAGTTCACTGATTCGAATCAGGATCTACCTTAAAATACAGTTGATCTTGGAATGTGGTTAAAAAAAAAAAAGCATGTACTGAAATTTTAAAAGGAGAAATTATTGTTTAACAAATTTGTGTTTATAAATGAATAAAACTCAGCAAAAGAATTGGATTAAGAAGACAGAGGGACTCCATGTGTAGGGAGAAAGACACAGTGAGAGAAAGTACCACAGAAAATGAGCACACAGAAGACAGGGAATAACTAAGCCAGAACTGCAACTTAACTTCCATTAGGGTTCCTCTCTAGTAATGTATTTTCCTCACTGGCAAGGCATCGAGGAGAGAAAATTTACTTTCTATATAGAGGGGAAACTACTGCTGTGCCTAAGTGCACATTTATTCAGTTCAATACCCTAAAGAGAATATAAGAAAATAAACATAGAAAACAAGACACACCATAAATCTGTTTTGTAAAAAACTCCACAAAAGGTTTACAAAGAATTCAAACTTCCAGATCATTGCTTCCAAATTATGCCATTTAAAAAACTTCTTTAATTAGGTCACCCAGCATTTTAAACAAATAAACAAAAAATATCCCTACCGTCTTTTTAATCATGTCCTTTTCTTTCTTCTGCTGAAGGATTGGCTGAAGTGGTGGGAATTCCTCTGTGCTACGCTTACTTATCACGTGATGCCCAAGGTGATAAGCAGCTTGGATTTGAATGGGGGTGAGGATGTCCCGCACATCTTTCTAAGGAAATCAAAAACCATGAGAATTCATAACAAAAATAGCCATGAAATAAAAAGACATATAATACTTCTTTTCCTGCATAAGAGCAAATACAACACGTAGAAGCAAAAGCAAATCCTTGTCTTTTATCTAAATTGCTTAAAAAACAGTGAAACACAGGGCTGGAAATGTGACTCTGGCGAGAACACGTGCTAGTGTGGCTCAAGGCTTCAGTTCCCAGAACCATGGACAAAAATGCAATGTGTCTATTTTTCCCACAGCAGAAGCATTCATATTTCTTATGAGAAACACAAAATGAGTATAAAATGAAAAACTATGACCATATAATAATAGTCACAAAAGTTTGTATTTGGGTATATTCCATTCTATTTTCTATATATTTTTTATAACTTGGCATATCAATATAATTTATTTATAAATTCTTTGTAAATTGTTCAAAGTTCTAATGAATAATTTATTTAATCTAACATGACCCTATAATGAACTTGCAGTGAAATGATATAACTCTCTGTTTTTTTAATCAAGGTGTTTTTTTTTTTTTTTACATCTATTGGTAATATTAGAATTCAAACTGACTCATCTGACTCCATATTTATGATGAAACATTCTTTTTTGCCATTCATTATGAACCTCTTCTCATACTTTCTAATAGATTATGACTACTATATATAAAAGTTATTAGTTTTGTATATTTAATTTTATATTATAGCCAGTTTATTGAATTTCATTATTAGTTACATTTTAGGTTTATTGTGCTTTTATATTTCAAAAAGAGGTTTTGAATTTATATTTGTCAATATGTAAAACTGTAACATATCCAAAATCTATCCTGTTCTGTATGACATTCTTTTAACTTTAATATCTACTAGTTTCTATACAGCATTTCTTATCCCTATTTCTACTGATAAGTGGCCAAAGTATTTTTATAATGACTAGATTTTTAAAATTTATTGTCTGCTGTCCTCAAATAAATAGCTCTTGAGTTTATTATAAAATTCTTTGATTTTAATCTGTATTTCTATAAACAAGCACTATTTCTCTTTTAAAAAACAATTTCCATGAGCTTAAAAATGATTCCTTTCAGTTGACTATTCCATATTCTCTGCACTAAAAGAAAACATACCTATCAAAATTACTTGTTAACACACATATGCATAGTGAAATAATCCACTAGAGAATAACTTTGATAACATTCAGGATTCAATTAAATAAGCACTTCACCAGATAGTAAAGGTGTTCTGGCATTTCCAGTCTATGGAAACAAATATACAGAATCCAGATATACGACAGGGCATCTCTTAGCACTTGTTTGTCTAAGACCTCTCTAGACAGAAATGCAGCTTCCAAAGTATATTGAACAAAGCAGCTTTCTTTTCCTCCTCATCTACGAGGGTAAGCTAATAAAACTTTACAAATAAAGTAATCCATGAAGATTTATAACAATTCAACTGACAAATTACATGAAATGAGACATGGCAACAAATCTATAGAACAAAATCTAAAGCACAATGAAAATTGAAAGTAGACATGATCTCAGAATTTGAGAGGGCAGGTCACAACCAGCAAATACATTCCACAAACACGGGAGTTAGTGTAGAAATTCTGTGCAGTCTTTATTTTTCTTGGTATTATAATTGTTACTATACTTGGAAGATAATTTGAAAAACTAGTCAGAGTTTAATATATTTCCTACAAACTTTAATTTTTTTCTAACAATTTTCACTTAAAGATCAGTTTGACTCCAATTTTCAAATGCCCATTTCAACTTACAGTTTCTCTTTTCGAACAACAGATTCAATAGAGTCCTTCTTGGCCATTAAAAAAAAAAAAAAAAGGTCCCTAGTGTTTTCACCCAGGCTAGACGTATCATCTTAAACCACACTTGAGGTTTACATCTGTGCTTGAGTTCCTCAGGGTAGACCCATAATGCTATAACTGACAAACTTCTTACTGAGTAATGTCAGTGGACCAAGATTTCAGGTCCACATGTCCACTCATTTCAAGATTGGAATACGGCTTAAATATCACTGCCTAAAAGCAAATAAAATAGATTAGTTTAAATACACCTCAATCAATAATCCCTAATGGATAGGAAAAATACCAATGGTATAGATTATTTATATCTATAGTAACTTTTCATTAAAAATCTAGGAAATAAATTAATAAAGATGACACATACTACATAACAGACTATACTTATTCCATGTCTTTATATAATTCTACACAAAAAGGATGTAATTCTTCTTCTCTTCACATTTGTCTTATCAATATATAAAGTGGCTGAAACTAAGTGGTCTGGAGGTAGAGAACTGGTTTTCCAATCTGGAGACCATTACTTATCTGTAACTTTGGGCAAGTTACATAATCTATGGCATGGTTATCTCATCTGAAAATGGAAACAATGATGGTAATAATACCTACACTATATTCTGTGACTATTAAATGACCATGTACGCAAAATAGTTAGACATGGTAATTATTACATATATTATGCCCCAAATGTAGCTATATAAGCCAACTAAGGAATTACTGAATTTATTTCTTAAAATAAGAACACTGCTGAACATTTGGAGGAAATAAGAAAACTGGACTATTGCCAACCAATGAACATTAAATAGAAAATAAATTAAATAGCAAGTGTTAGACTTCTATTAATTAAATGGTATCTGGAAGATCAGAGCCTGAATTAGGGTACTCAAGGTCTGATTACTTTTCCATTCTTCTGCATAGAGATACTTTTATTAAATTACTTGATAAGTGATCATCTCCACATGAAACCTTGACCATATAGGAATGCTGCAAATCAAGACCCAAATCCCAAGTTATCCACTTGTGAAAATGGAACAGCTTGAAGCCCCGAGTATTACAATAGCAAACTTGATTAAATTATTCCCCAGGTGTAGGAGCTAGACAGCCACTGATTCTCCCTCCACATGTCCACTGTTTTAATTCTTCTCAACAAGCTTGCACTGACCAAATCACATGTTATCTAATTCATACTAATTTTCCACAAGGTCTTCTCTACATCTGGTGTATATTACTTTCATTATCCTAATTAGCTATTAATTATGCTTTTCTTGCAGTATATAAAATGTACGCGCACTCTTGCAAGAACTGTATTTGATTGGTGGAGATATTAAAGTTAAATAAGTGTGAATATCTAAGGACAAAAGCAGTAATGTCAAAAATGTCCCAAAGTGACAAAGTATTTGGGAGGGGAATATGTAGATTTGCTTAAAATTTCTAATATGGGCAGGCATGTGCTAGTATATTTAAAATAATGGAAATTCCATGCCACATTTTTATGGACAATTACATAAAGCAGGGCACCCACAAGCATGCAAATTAGCACATGCCTGAAATTACCCAAAGTCTATCTTCTTGCTTGACTTTCATGGAATTCTATGTCTGGTCAATTTGTAAGCTAAGTTGTAGGCCCCAGAATCTCCTTCTGTATTTATATACTGAAGGAATTTATTTAAAGGTTAGGGCCAAAATATTTATAAAATTTTAAATGGAAAATGATGTCATGGCACCAATATTTTAAGGTATATATTCACTGGTCTACTGTGTGCAAGAAAAGTTCTGAAGCTACAAAACTACAAGTCAGAACCCACATCTCAGTCTATAATCCATAAACCCAGATGTGTGAGAAATAAATATTCTAACGTGCATGCACAAGCACAGAAGAAGGACCACCTAATAAATATAGATGGTTTTTAATTTAAAAAGATGGCTATATTTGTATTCATGAAATGCCCCTTTAGTGCCAATGTGGTGCTGAGGAGGGAGAAGGGGAGACCAAGGCATAGGTTGGAATCTAAGCCAGAACCATCACATGCAATTCTAACCACTTTATCTGGTAAGTGGTTCAGATGCTAGAGAGCTACTGGGCTTTAGGCGTTACAACTTCCTGAAAAAAGATCCCTCTGAAGACAGTTGCCCCAACATTGTACCAATAGAATACTCTCAGATTTTTCCTTGTAGAATTCTTTAAATAGCACTAAGAACACAGAGTCCACAATTTGTTAACTATTTATCAAGTTTCTGCCCTTGGTAATGAATTGTGCTAGCTCCAAGAATACAAGAACACAAAAATGTGAAAGACATTATCCTGCTTCAAAGACTTAACATTCAACAAAATATTCAGATGTGCCAGAATAATCAATTCTCTCCTTGAAAAGCATAATATCAGTAGTTACTTAGCTTATTTGCACTTAGATTTTCAGCAGAATATGTTCATATATAAATCAATTCATCATGTGCTATGATTAAAAAATAACTGCTTTGCAGCAAACAGTACTTCATTAAACTATGTGCATATATTGCTCAATAATATAAGCAAATAGGCCAAGTAATAATATAAATAAAATACCATTTACTAATTAAATATACATTCATTTCCTTGAAATTATGGACAAGATGAGTTTTAGAAGTTGTCTAAAGACTTATATAAAAAATAAAGTATTTGCATTTCAGAAATGCCAAGTTCAGAAAATTAAGAAATGAAGGAGAAGAAAAGAATACACCAATCTACTACACAGGTAGGCATGTGATTTCATGGTTTTAATTTCATGGTTTTAACATGGTAAGGCCACTGAACTCACTGGATCTTGGAATACTGATGGGGAGAGGTATTCCTGAACCAGCAACTCAGTTAAATATTTCTAGCTGTAATGGAAATGTTGCAGACAAGCAATCTGTTTGGTACTTCAAGCTAGCATCTTTCTCTTCTGCAAATATCAGTGACTATTTTAATGCAGAGATTCCACCAAGATCAACCAAGATATATCATCTACCAAAATATTAAGAGAAATCTCCTACCATGGCTGTTCTAAAATTTCTAAACACTGTTGCAAATTGTTTCTTGGGTTTCCTTAAAACAAAATTGCTTCAAAATTATCTTGTCTTAATAAATCTGATAGATCTAATAAAGTAAATTTGAATACAGTAAAGGCAGATTCATTTTCATACACTTATATGAATGCGTAAATAGTTTC